TGGAAGAGGCCTTATTGGCCTCATAACAGACAAAAAAGCCCAGCTAATAGGCCCAGACTTTCTCACATTCTAAAGCAGGAACTCATCTACTACATAACAATAACAAACGGCAGTGCTTCCATAAATTTCTTTGAACAAGGTCCTGTAGCCTCTAGCGACCACCTACCTATAATCACGACCATCTCAGCAACATCAATAACTATACCAGCTCCACCACGGAGGATCGCCAAGCAGACCAACTGAGAACTATTCAACGAAAAGGCCACAGCCAAACCTGAGGCCAAGGACATGACAATCCTGCAGACCAAAGACAATCAGCCGGTGAAAAAAATAGACGAAGAAATCAACACATGGTGTGAGGCCATAGGAACAGCCTACCAAGAGGCCACCCCTCTCAGACGCAACAGAACACTCCCACACCCACAACAGACTCCAGAATTCATAGCCCTCACAAACCAATTCCAACTGCTACAACAGAGAGCCAAGACCCATGGTTGGAATATCGTAAGCTGCAATACATACAGAAGAATACGGGAGGAGCTAAAAGCAAGATCTCTGGAACAAAGCAACCTTAAATGGGCAGAAATAGTTGAACAACTCTCACATACATACAACGACCCATGAGAGTTCCGGCGCCGAGTCAAATAGACTGAAAGTATCCAGTCGAAATGAGTCACCATATATAACTGACCACACAGGAAATAAAATAAAGTATATGAGGACCAAGACAAAGAACCCATATTCAGGTATATATGGAGGAACATCTTCCAAATCACAAATATAGAGAACAGGGGATTTGATGGTACCTACAAGGAGCTCGTTCTTGATGAACTCCGGGCCAGACACACCGCACTCAGCCTTCCCCTGAAATCATATGAGAGGATCTGAGATGGGACAACCCATTGTCCGAACCAATCACCTCGGAAGAACTCAATACAGCCATATCCAACGCCAAAAGTAAAGCCCCTGGCTACTCGGGCATCACCAAGGAGATCCTCAGCCACATAAACATCCCGGCCATGGAGAGATCTGAGAACGACGATGAACGCCTGCCTGGCCTCGGGATACTCCCCAAATAAGTTCAAAGAGGCGAAGATTACACTAACACCAAAACAAGGAAAGAACCCCGCCATCCCACTAAATTATAGACCAATCTTCCTCCTCAAAATACCTGGAAAAAGCCTTGAAAAAATCATCAACAACAGTCTGAGAAACCACCTGGAAACAACCAACAGAATCAATTGCAGACAATGTGGGTTCAGAAAAAGAGCCAGAGCCCCAGCGAGTGGTAGCCAATGTAATCTAACTCTCTGGGAAGTAGTGAAGGCGTTTGACAAAGTCTGGCATGGCCGTCTAAGATATAAAATTTTCCATCTCGGACTTCCAGCCAACATCAAAAAGCTGCTTTGCAACCTTCTTGATGGCAGAAATGCCAGACTGAGGGTAGGACAACACACAGGAGAGACCTTCCCACTCATGAGCAGAGCCTCTCAAGGCAGCGTCCTCTCTCCCACCCTATATATCATCTACACAAATGACACTCCGCCTCCTACTAGAATAGGAAACGAAGATAATTATTATGTATGCAGATGACATCACTCAAATAAAAACACATCGAGGAAAACCACGAACACTACAGGTCGACAACACCATGCAGCAAATGGAAAGGGTAAATAACTACGAAAAAAAAATGGGAAAATCCAAACCAGTCTCCCCAAATTCACAGTTATACCCTTATGCAGATGAAAAACCCATCCATTAGTAACCAATAATGCCCAGATCGAATACAAAAGCAGAGGCACCCTCCTGGGCCTGAATATATCCAGGTTACTCCCACTATGTCCACACCAGGAAGGAAACGGCAAAAAGAGCTAAAGAAAACTATACCGCTTTAACACGCTTCCTGAGAAAATAAAACTCCGCCTGGTTACATCACTTATCATACCGATATTAACTTACCCAGCAGTTCCTCTTCATACTATGAGCACCACTCAATTATTAAAACTACAGGTGGTTCAAAATGAAGCACTGAGATTTGTCACAGGTGAAAGATACCCCTTCACCAGAACCACAGCCGAGGTACATAGAGACCTGAGAATGAAACCCATCAACCAGCAGCTGCACACCCTGGCCAGCAGAATCTGGCAAAAGAGAGAACGATCAGAGCAAGAACTCCTTCAAAGACTCCCACCAGACAACGACAACAACCATACATGGTTCCCAAAAAGTTACTAAATCTCAAAGTCCACTACCACCCCCAATCTATACGGCCAGGCAATAGACAACCTCCCTAGACCAGCAACCGCCAGTATGCTCAGCAGAATATGAAATATGGCCCCCCAGACACCAATATATGAGATAGAGTAGGCTGTCTAGTGCCTGTACCAACGGACAATAACTAACCCACGACACAACCCGAACACACTATTAGCTTAGCTAACCCACGGCAAGGCGGTCAGTCCGCCTCCTCCTAAATTTCTTCAATTTCGAAACTATAACTTCCTTCCTCCACCTCTAGTCTTCTTCCACCCTCTCTTTCTCTCCAAAAAAGAGTGAATTGTGCCAGGTCTCCTTTGTTCACTGTGTCCTTGACACAGACACTCTAATATGCCACACTACATAGCTTAGAGGTCCTAATAACTTTTATTCAAAAGTCTTTGCATTGACCAAGTGGCTAATGAGCTGACCAGTGACAAAACAAAATTGAGGGAGTGTGACTCACGTATATGGTGTGTCATTATCATTTTTTTTTTATCAAATGTTTATACAAAATAAAAAAAAATCTTGAGAAGTCATATAAATCAATAGAAATATATATAATTTATGTAAGCAGGTAGAAAACAATAACATAAAACCCATTTTTTTCTAAATAAAATTAAAATATAGCATTACTTATGTTCAGTCAGGCAGGCCAGACAGTCAAGGCCCATTGTTGCTGCCAAGTGATCCTTGTTATTCTATGTAAACAAATTTACCATGGGAAAATAAATTAGTAAAGCCTTATATTTTTTTTATTTATTATATACTTTTTCATGAGTTGTGAGTAATGAGAGGGAAGAAATAAAATATTTATGACTGCAAAATTGAGAAAAATCATTTTGCATTCCTATTTGGCTCACTTGCTTGAGAGGCTCTGGGGAATTCCATTTGACTTACGCACACATATTGATGAGTAGAGGGAAGTTTAAATGCCCAGAGCACAAAATTATGCAATTTTTCATTCTTTTGACAACAAAATACACCATTTAAGCCAAAAGGAGGTAACTTTTTTGGACCTGCCAGGACGACCTTCAGCAGAACTGGTGGACGCTTAATGGGTTAACAAGTAAGGTGATGTTGCGGCTACCGCTCCATAGATGATCACTGCCTGTGCCAACACTGAGACAGGCAGGCGCCGGAATGGCTGTGACCTCATTATGTCAACAAAACATCGGGCATTTAATACCACACAATAACTCATCTGGGGTTGAGTGTGGGATTTGTTTTTTTTTGGGGGGGGGGATTTATTACAGTACTTTACGATAATGTTTTATTAACCTGGTACCAAATAAACCTAAATAATATGGGAATCATGGCCAAATTACATAATGTTGTACAGTATTGAAAAGGTCCTAGGTGTGTCAAGTGCTCGGGAATGTGGAGGTGGGGGGGGGATCAGTCTACCACCCAACACCCTGCCTCTCACCGACAATTAAGAACATAAGAACATAAGAAAATAAGGAGTCTGCAATAGGCCGGTTGGCCTGTGCATAGCAGCTCCTGTCGAGAGTTACTACCTCTCTCTATCATCAATGAATCTATCTAGCCTCCTTTTAAAACTTTCCAGCGTTTCAGTATTTACTACAAAGTTGCTAAGCTCGTTCCACTCGTTCACCACCCTATTTGTGAACCAGTTCCTTCCTATCTCCCTCCTAAACCTAAACTTATCTAACTTAAATCCGTTGCTACGAGTCCTATCCTGCTCGGATATTATAAGAACTTTATCTATATCTCCATTATTGATTCCTTTCACCCACTTCAATACTTCTATCATATTCATTCCCCGCTCCTCATTTTTTTTTTACTTTTATATTGTACTTTCTTTATTTCGTAGTCAAATTAGAGCACTGAAATGATGATTCCACAACTTTTATGGTTTCTTATATAAATATACAATGCAGTAGCTGGGTAGTTCAGCTGTGAATTATGGATATTTAGCTGCAAAATTTAAAGTAGATAGCAATACAAGTACAGTACCCACAAATTTAAGTACTGTACATGAATTTGTATTTTGTGAATCATCGTGACTCCACTATACTGTATTATTGTGTTTTGTAAGTTGAGGTTTGTATTTTTACCTAACTTAATCTATGGCATTAACACTGTTCTGACTTACAAAACAGATCGACCTTTTCATAGCTTGGGGACTTCCCGTACTGTATTTTCAAATGGATCATCATGTTCATCAACTGACGACAGGCGGTCATCAGCTGACAATATGTGAGAATTATTACGAAAGACTTCATTAGTTTTGCGTTATGTATTTTGTTTTAAACATGGCCACCTTCTGTGAACACAATAATCACCTTCTTGTACTCAGATCACAGAAATGTTGCCACTCACCTGGCTGTGTATTACAACCAAGTTGAGATATGAGGAGTTAACAGATACAGATTAATACAGTTATACTTAAAAACTTGTCACATTACTTAGTATTCATTTCATTAAGACTTCTTTACTTAGATACTATTTACATCCATATATGAGTTTACACTAATCATCCCTGTTATAAATATATCTTCTTCATAATTGTAGTTGGAAACTCATGTCTCCATCACTGAGACGCTATCACATGTAGAAAATCACCACCAAGGAGTGGAACTGCAGGCAACTGTACCTATCATGTTAATCAAGGAATACCTGTACAGTAACTTGCTTACAAAAATTGTAATAAAGATGCTAGAAGGACTTCATTATAAATTTCCCTTGTAGATGATACCTACTAAAAAAACTTTCCTTACATTATTTATCTTCTCAGGCACCCTCTCAGTGTCTGAGTTCTGTCTGAAGATGATGGGCTTGTCCTCACTGAACCAATCTGTCCATCCATCCCTGCACTCACCGACCTCCACCTCCTCGGCTGTTGCATTGTGTGGTGTGGTAACCCGGGTAGTGGTGCGGGTGGTGGTGCTGGTAAAGGCGGTGGGAGTGGGACACGGAGTTCCACGGCAAATTTTCTTTTTGCGCGAACAAGAACTGAAATGTGTGACAAATAAATAAAGAGTGAGAAAAAATTAAGTAAGGGTATAAATGCAGTGATGAAAAAATAATTTTTAACATTTCAAAAGTATGAACAGAAGAGGACTGCAGGTGTCAAGTCCATACTGTCCATCTCTTCTTCTTTTTACAACAAAGACTCACCAAGTGTGGCAGTCATCTTGGGAAATAATGTCGCCTTCCATATATACTTCTCCATCTATCTCCATGCACTTTTTCTCACAATCGGCCTTTGGAACACACTCCATGTCAGTGGAACTCTTGTACAATTGGCCTGGAGGACAAATATCCTTGGCACATCCTGCAATGATGATGAAATATAAGTAAACAAACACATTAATTAGACTCATGTTCAGCACTAAAAACTGTTGGGCATAGAATGCCAATAAGCTGTGGAAAGTACAAGTGTATTTGACTGAGGACAAGGAGTGGCATATTAGGAAACAAAATAATATAAGACGAAATTCAGCGGACAAATTTTGAATTGTGATCTTTGACCTGTTGTAGTGACCTTCAGAAGTTATCAGGTGTAAAACTTCATACACTATATTTGTTAGTCTTTTTATCCTTCTAGCCACTTATCTGCTTACTAGCTGTTTGGGCATTTGGTCTTTCTCTTGTTTGTACAGAAGGAAACCGGAGGTCAGGAAACCTGTGATGTATGGTAGGGTCACACTGGATAACACCCTTCTCATGTGTGTTCAGTCTCAAACCCTTGACATATTGGTGAGAGATATGCACGTTACCGCTGTACATTATTGGTACGGTAGGTGTGACCTTAAAGACCTTTTCTCTGACCGCCAGGTTGAAATTTGCACGTGCAGTTTGTTGAAGTACAGGTCACTCTTGACTTACTATAGGGTTATGTTTCTAATAACCATAATTATCATTATTACCATATACAAATAATCATAAACTGATTTATTTATCCACAGACTATCATTAATTATTAATTAAGAGATACATTCCTCATAAACAGAGAGAAACTTCTTCAACACATAATAAAATAACACTGCAACACAACTTATATATTTATATGAATAAAAATTGAAAATGCAATAAACACAAGCAACTATTTAATGAAAAATTCTACTTTAATTCGTTTAATAGTTGCCACAGTTGACTGAGATTGTCCTAAAATTTTAGTGATGGCTGTTGTCATTTTGTCAGCCTCAATTTTCTTAATCATCTCCTAATGCATAATTATCTAACCTAAAGACTCATTACTTTTGCTGGTCACTCTCCTGGCACCTCCAAATACCCTGTAGGGTAAATTGTTTGAGAAATGCAAAAAAAAAAAATAAATAAATAAAAATGTTGTGACTTCTGTTGAAGTTGGAACTGGATTCAAAAGATCCAGTTGGATTATAAACAACAAACTGTTTGGGATCTGCCTAACATTAATATTCTTTAAATATAATGGGTAATTACATTTTTTTTACTCCCAAAACTTAAATACACGATAACAAAAATTTTATAAATGATAAATAAGTAACAATTGTAAAATTTTAAAATAATAGTTAATATTGGTGACTGACCTGTGGACGAGTTATTTGTTTTACTTGTTTTCATTTGTGAGTTCTGATATGATAATAATCATTTCTTGCGCAAATGCTTAGTTTGGTAGATAATTAGGGACCTAGGCGCATAATACTTTGCCTTCTCGGCAGTAATGCGGCAATAACATCTCATCCCAGGATAGAAACAGTCAATCATATTGACGTATATCAAAACACTTCGCCGCCCTGGCTTGATCAACGCCAATGCTCAGTGTATGTTTAAGAACCGTTCAGTACAGACGGCTGCTCTCACATATACAAAGAAACGTAAAATTACACCATTTCATAGTAAGTTCTTTCTGTTTAATATACCGGGGGGTTCAGGGCAGAGGAAGTTAGGTAGGTTTGTTTAGTTAGGTTGGTGAAATCTTCTGCTGCTTGTTTTTCATAACAAGTAAGGTTAGGTTAGGCTTAATTTAAAAATAACCACTTAACACATTTGCACAAACCACGGCAGTTCCCCTATAAAACACAGTGAAATTGAGGTGTTTCTAAACTAATTTTCTATGAAAAATTGGCCACGGGTCAGTCGTCAGTAATTACCAAAATAATAAATAAGGGCTAAAGGAAATCAGGGTACAGCTGCCTGTATATTGTACAGAGGTAGTTTCATATGTACACTGTCATGTTTGACCTTTTTACTTGACCACTAAGCACTAACACAGAATCAGATGTAAAACTTAAAGCATAGCATCAGCTGTACTGTTCAAGTATGGTTTAGTTTTAAGATTACTTCATCCTGTTGTAATCCCCAATATGATATTTGAACTTTGACCTGCTCTCATCATGTACTAAGTCACAGTTAAATCTGAAGCACATCACACGTTGGCTAGTGCCAATGGTGGCTAAATGTTCTAATTATAAAATACAAAATCATTTGTCAATAACATTCTCCCATTTACCTCTTCTAAAACTAGTATACTGTAGGTATCTCTCTGAACCTAATTCATGATTAAAGGTTTTTCTTATAAGGTTGTTGCCTTTGAAGTGGGTGTTAAGGAGTAAATGTTGGAGGAGAAGGGTGTGAACTTTCCTTTTAAATTGGTGTAAATATTCCAGTAGCATTATAGTGCAAGAACCTGTGACTGCCTTACCTTCAACACAAGCATCTTGTGTACACAGTGGAGAGTTGGGGTCAAGCAATGTGTCGCAGGTCTCCAGAGGGCAGGTTGGGATACACGGCTCATAGTGCTCACAATCCTCATTACACTGCATAGCTGTAACACCACAAAACTCAAACTGCAACATATAACTATAATACTGTACAGTAAGATAGATGTATGATAGATGATTAGTGGGTCTCATATTTTTTACCTGACGTGACATAACTAGTTATATCGCCCGTTCTTATAATCTATTCTTATATTTGCTGTGTGGATTAGTGGATATCATGTTTTTTGACATGACCTCATGTTTTGTAAGGTCACCCTGTGTACATAAGCTCTCTCTCAGTCTTTGTAATTCAGTTGCCTCTGAAGATGTCTTGAATAGAGATGAAAGCTAAGGTTCTCCATTGTTTCCCTTTTCCTGTGTGATTTTATCAAGATTTATCATATTCCACGTCTCCATTGTGGATCTACATGAAATATGTATATATATATATATATATATATATATATATATATATATATATATATATATATATATATATATATATATATTTATTTATTTATTTATATAAAGTGACTGACCCTTATACGATGAGGTGGTGAGTTTAGGAATCTAAAAAAAAAAAACATCGCTAAGTGATCGATAGCACAGTATACTGATACAGGTATTAATAACTTGTGAGGAAAAATAGGTTCTGCTCCCGAGCCCCTGAAGAGCTCAAGCAAGTTTATATCCCCTTTTTTATCCTCTTTACCATTAATCGGCTCATTAGCCGCTTGAGTGGTCAGTCACGTCTCTGTTACGCAAGGTTGGCGAGTACTGGGTCCTGACTGTATCTGAACCTACTCTAATGCTATAATGATTAAATAATGTCTAAATAACTCAAATACAGTAGAGTCTCAATAAATCGGACTAATTGGGGCAGACCCCAGTCCGAAAAGTGCGAAAGTCTGAAAAAAATCGAATATATGAGAGTGGGGGTGGGAGAAAACACAGCTTATCTGAACTGTTTAAAGAAAATCAGTTGGTGTGTTACTATTGCACTTCAACAACTAAGGTCTTTAAGTGTATAACAAGGTTATTAAAAGATTATTGCATCAACAATAACAAAAATATGAAAGAGAACTCTCTGGGTTGAAACTCAGACTATAAGTCTGGTTGTCACCGAGATGATTGTTATTTACTGTAAAGTGTTATATGTAAGTAACCACAGAATTTGTCTTATGAATAATGAGAAAACTGTATACTGTACAGTACTATAAAGATAAAACTAAGAACAATTAAGTGAAGGAGTACACTGTAAAAGGAAAGAGTGTTTATCTGGGATCAGCTGGCAGAGGGAAGGGGTAGCACGGGTGGGTGGCTCCCTACCCCAAGATTCCTTTAACATTTCTTTATGAAATTGCACCATAATTCTCAATATAATTTAGGATCATTTGGTGCCAGGTTGAAAAAAGAATCAGCTTTCCTGAAAAAAGAATCCCACACAGAGGGTCAGCGTAGATGGTTTTAAATCTGAGTGGGGCTGTGTAACTAGTGAGGTTCCCCAGGGGTCAGTACTGGGCCCATTCTTGTTCACAATGTACATAAACGATCTAGATACTGGGATCAGCAGTGACACAAGCAAATTTGCGGATGACACCAAAATAGGGCGGCAGATTAATTCAAGGCAGGATGTAAATGCACTACAGGAGGATTTAAATTAACTGCAGGAGTGGTCAGGAAAATGGCAAATTAAATTCAACATCAGCAAGTGCAGCGTACTAAATAATGGAAGAACAAATACTGTAAACGTATACAGTCTTAACAACATCAAATTAGAGAGGTCGACATGTGAAAGAGACCTAGGGGTACTTGTAAGCCCGGACCTACGGCCTAGAAAATAGTGCGTTAATGTTCGAACTAAGGCAAACAGAGTATTAGGTTTTATATCTAGAAGTGAAAGTAATAAGAGTGCGGAGGTCATATTGCAATTATACCTTGCGCTAGTCAGGCCGCACCTCGATTATGCTGTTCAGTTCTGGTGCCCTTATTATAGAATGGATATCAATTCATTGAAGTCGGTGCAGTGAAGAATGACGAAAATGTTTCCGGGACTTAGAAACCTTCCATATCAAGATAGATTACAGAAACTAAACTTGCATTCCCTAGAAAGACGAAGAGTGCGGGGAGATATGATAGAAGTATTTAAGTGGGTGAAAGGAATCAATAAAGGAGATATAGAGAAAAACAATTATAATATCCGAGCAGGATAGAACTCGTAGCAAAGGATTTAAGTTGGATAAGTTTAGGTTTAGGGGGCATATAGGAATAAACTGGTTCACAAATTTGTTGGTAGATGAGTGGAACAAGCTTAGCAACTTTGTAGTAAGTGCTGGGACGCTGGAAAGTTTTAAAAGGAGACTAGATAGATTCATGGACGATAGAGGGTGGTTGTAACTCCCGACAGGAGCTGCCATGCACAGGCCAACCGGCTTATTGTAGACTCCTTATTTTCTTAACACCATGAATCATTTGTTTACAGAGGGCAGACAGCTGATTAGCTTACCACAATGTCTGTCTTCAACACTTAGTGAATTAGTACAGTACAATCCTGTATTTATCATCACTTAATAAATACTATTGTTGTGTATTTATCATCACTTAATAAATACTATTGTAATGTACAGTATTATGCAACTGCCTATACCCTGGTTTATTCATTAATCATTTGTCTAAGTGTACAAGGGGCCAAACCGAGTCATCATTTAACACTCAAAAGTAGTGAATAACATTTTTAAGAAGGTTTCTTCATATCAAATACTATACAGTGTGTTATAGTAACCCCTGCTGTAAGCTGATCTGCTGAATGCTCTCACATGAACACAGCTTGAGTAAATAACCTCGTGATACAGCTTATCTTTTTATTTACAAGTCATATTACAAATTACTTACAATATTGTATTTTTTCTCTATTACTGAAGGTGTTATATTAATCATGATGAACCATAAACCATAAGTGGCCAATTATAAAAGAATATAACACTGAATAAATAAATAAACCTGACGAATGCAGCAACACCTGATCGGCTCCAGCCTGCTTACATACTCAAGTGTTTTAGTTCTCAGTCGGCCTATAGCAAATCTGATTAGGCCACTGTATAGTATTCAGTAACTGTTGTTCATTTAATGATATTGTTTTATTAATCTTAAACATTTCTTAAAACATGGATTTTCTTTTTTTTAGTACAGTATTTCTGGTGACCAGAGAATCTTAGAGTCAGAAAAAAGCGAATTCCGATATACAGTAAAACCTCGATAAATTGGACTTCAATATACCGGAATTCGCTTTTTACAGACTCTTGAGATGCTCTGGTCACCAGAAATACTATTACAAAAATGGGGAAGATTATTAAAAAATCCTATGAAATTAACAAGACTTACTGAATACTGTACAGTGGCCTAATCAGATTTGCTTTAGACCTACTGAGAACTAAGACACTGAGTATGTAAGCAGGCTGGGGCTGATCAGGTGTTTTGTTATTTTTCAACTTGTAATTTTGAGTAGATATAACCATTTTATTAATATTCTATTACTCTTTTACATTCACACATTATGTATAAATAAATAAATATATATATATATATATATATATATATATATATATATATATATATATATATATATATATATATATATATATATATATATATATATATATATATATATATATATATATATATGTGTGTGTGTAATATTCAGAAACTTCAGTGTAATTTCAAACGCCGCGCCATTGGCGATGCTGAGTTCAAGGTCGTCTGAGGGAAGACCGGCTCCCTCGAGAGTTTGTGGAACTAGGCCTGTACGATATTGAATGTAGTTTACCGAATTAATAATGATGCGATTCATGAAGTTAAGGGACTATTATTGAATTTGAAATTATTATAGATCGTTTACCAGTCTGAATAATGTTACGGGTGTCCCAAGAAAGTTATTAGTTAGGCAGAAAATATGTCGCTAGGCCTAAGCTAGCGCACGAGGCTGGCTGGTCCTCAGTCACGTGAAAGCGATCGGACCTACAGGACGTCCCTGCGCGTCCGTCCACAGAAATAGTCACGTGGTCTAGTCACCTGTGTTGCACTATTCCAGTATAACAAGCAAGTCTCATTCGATCTCAGATAGGGGTTAGATAGGGCAGTGATAAAGTTATTAAGAGCTAACAGTGAGTCAATTTCATGGTTTCCGTCAGAACCCACTTGACTGCCAGAGATTGACTGCCGTTTGAGACTGCCGTTGATGATTGAGGCTTGACGAGTGTCGCCGTTGGAACGATCAGTGTAGGCTTGTCACTGGTTAGCGGGGTAGCAAAGGATAGCGTGAGTGAACGAGTGCTCCCGACAACTAAAACGACACGGGACCAGCATCAGCATTGGGTGATCAGTTCTTACCACGTGGGTGCCCAGCACCACGTGCTCTCGGTCAGCTAGAAGTATTACCTACTGGCCATAGACACCTGCTGGCGTTCTCTCTTCCAGCCCATGGACGCACTGAGAGTACACTGAGGCTATCTGAGTAAATTAATGGTCACACACTGAGACCAGGAGTCTTGGGGATATCTAGAGAAACATTTTATCTCCCTTATTACGGGTGTATGTTGAGTTGGGTGGAGCATGGTTCATGGGTATTGGTGGACCCAGTAACATCTCAATAATAGTGACAATATTTTTGTGTGTAATTAGTACCATTTTTCAGTTCCTGATATTATCTTGACGTGTGTAGTAATAGTTCCTAAATGATTTTGATAGTATTATTTTTTGAATGTTTGTGTCACTAAGTGGAACCAGAGTGATACTGTGATTTAATTCCTTTAATGCATCTAAGTTTTCTTTATAATTCCGATCTCAGGTATAACCTTTGTTCCCCAGAGAACATAAGAACATAAGAATGGAGGAAACTGCAGCGGGCCTATTGGCCCATACTGAGCAGTCCCGTTTACACCCAACCCCTATTGCTCATATAAGCATCCAACCTATGTTTGAAGCTATTCAGCGTATTCGAGTTAATGATGATATTTGGTAACTTGTTCCATTCATCCACTACTCTGTTTCCAAACCAGTGTTTACCTAT